TACACAGTTCTGTCTTCCTTTTCTTCCTTCTCCTCTTCCTCCTGCTCCAGATCTTGTTACTTCCAAAAAAGCCCGTAACCGTGGGCCTGCGCTGAGCCAGCGATCCGAGGTGCTTGAATCCCCTCCACTCCCATTGGCCTTTCCCGTGGGTCTGAGGCCCTGGGCTGGGGCTCTGTGCTCTGGGTTTGTGGGGAACAGAGAGCGCGGGGAGGACGTTGTGGCTTGAAGCGTTTGGAGCCGTGCCTGGAGCACAGACAGTCCTTGGAGGGACCTGCAGCTGGGGGTGGCGGAGGCTGGCAGCTCTGCCAGGAGGAGGAGGAGCAGCAGCGCTAGCCGGTGCAGGGGAGCCTCCCGGGGTTGCCGTGGGAGAGACTGCTGGGGGCTGGGGGGAGGGGCACTTCCTTTCTGGGGCAAACAGGCAGATCATCCTTCCAGCAAAGGTGGGACGAAGCCTAGGACTCCAGGACAGACTTTAATCCAGACTTCCGAAAACTTCGGAGCTGTTGCGTAAGTGGAAGCGTCTTCTGTTTAAAATTCTGTTTTTACTGTTTGTTTATTTTTGAGAGAAAGAGAGAGACAGACAGACCGTGCACACAGGGGAGGGGCAGAGAGGGAGACACAGAATCTGAAGCAGGCTCCAGGCTCTGAGCTGTCAGCACAGAGCCCGATGCGGGGCTTGAACTCACTAGCCCATGAGATCATGTTCTGAGCCGAAGTGGAACGCTGAACCGACTGAGCCACCCAGGCGCCCAGCATCTTCTGTTTAGTTCAGGCTAACAAGCAGTTATTGAGGAAGTACCTATAGCGTTCCAGCCCATGTGGGGAATACAGAGTTAGGGACCCAGCCATGAGGAGCTCTGATTCCTGCGAGCTGGGTGACTTTGGGCAGGTGCTCTGATTTCGGGGGCTCCGTTTCCTCCTCTGAGCTTGCGGAGGTGGTACCTACCTCACAGGGAAGTTGTAGGGTTCTGCTGGAAGAATCCGTGCCAAGCCCTCAGCATGCACTCCTGGCGTGTAGTAAGTGGCTTTCTGGGGGCAGCCTTTAAGAGCCTTGGCCTCGAATCATTTTGTTTAATCCATACCCTCGCTTTCAAAGGTAGGCCTCATCCCAGAAGGGGGAACACAGGAGCCTCGGTGCTGAAATGACTCGCTTGATGTTTGAGGACACCCAGGCAGTGAGGCTGGCACTGCGGGCCACAGTGCTCGTTCCCTGCCCCTGCTTCCCACGTCCGGCCCCGGTTCCCTAACTTTCGGGTATTCTTCACAGCCTCTGCCAGGGCACTCAGCAAGTGTTTGTTGAATGATTTTTTTTTTTTCCTGGCTGGTTTAAAGGGAACCAGGCTGGGGTGGGGAGGGAAACGGGACCCCCCTGGAGCATTCCATCCCCTTTCAGATTTCTGGGGCTGACCCAGCAGAACCCGCTAGTGTACTGCCTGGCCCTCTAACACCCAGCAGTGAGTGAAACCAAATCATGCCCTGAGGGAAAACCAGCCGGGTTCCTTTTGATTTATTTATTTTTAAATAGCAGAGCTATTTAAATAGCAAAGCTCTGAAAAGAAAAGTAAGGGAAATACCTGCCTGGTTAATCCCTTGTGACTTGGAGCTGCTAGAAAACAAAAGAAGGGCCATTAGCTGGCAGATGGGCTCTGGGCAGCAAGTGTGGCGCTGTGAGCTGTGTGTCTGTGAGGGTCAGTGGGAGAGGCCCCTTCGGGAAGGCTGAGCGGACTTCCCTCACGCCCACAGGCGCGGCCCTCACCTTGCCAAGGCCGCCCTGCTCCATCTTGCTGTAGTCGGGGCGAAATGTTGGAAGCTACCACTTCCTTCTCCGGCTGCGTGTCCGCCTGTACCAGCGGACGTTTGTGTCTCCATAGTCCTCACTCCACCGCCGGTTGCTGCCTTTACTGCCTGTGCAGACCTTGGTGTTAGGCTCTGGGGGGCCTTGCCTGCTGGTTTGCGGGTTCCCCCCCAGGCTACTGCCGCAGGAGTTGGGGGAGGTGATCAGTGTGGTTTTTGTTCTTTGTTTTGGGTTTTGTTGTTTCGGTTTCTGTTTCTCTAAAACTCTTTATTTATTTTTTTAATTTTAATGTTTTATTTATTTCTGAGAGAGAGAGACAGTGTGAGCAGAAGAGTGTCAGAGACAGGGAGACACAGAATCTGAAGCAGGCTCCAGGCTCTGAGCTGGCTGTCAGCACAGAGCCCAATGCGGGGCTCGAACCCATGAACCGTGAGATCATGACCTGAGCCGAAGTCGGACGCTTAACCCACTGAGCCACCCAGGTGCCCCTCTCTCAAACTCTTTAAAACGCAGCTGAAGATAGAGCTGCTTTTCCTGGAGGGAATCGAGAGGGTGCTCTTAGGAGGCCTGGGGGTACAGGAGGCTGCAAACGGGCCAGTGTTGAGCACGGGACTGCCTCAGGTCCTGTAAGTCATCCCTGGTAAGTCAGCACCTCTTGGGAAAGGTGACTGAGAAAAAAACAGTAACAAAACCCCAGGACCCACAGAGCTCCCCATGGGATCTGACAGGCGTAGCGTGGCCAAAACCTACGGAGACGAGACGTGTCATCTCCATAGCATCGCGACGTGTCATCTCCATAGCATCGCGCTGAGGCTCTTGGAGAGTAAAATAACTCCCGTGCGGAGAAGGAAGCATGCCCAGGGACTCACTCCAGACATCCACACTGCTACCTGTCCCGTGAGCGCTGCAGTAGCCCCTTCCTCTGGGAAGCTGTCTCTGGGCAGTGGTGGATTTGGGTGGTAGATGAGGGGCCAGGGGCACAGGACCATCTCGCTTGGGTGGTCTGAGCACAGGGGTGAGGGGCAGCGGAGGGGCCTCTGTGAGGAGGCCTCGGGCTCAGGACCAGAGTGTGCTGAGGTGGCCGCGTGGCGGGTGGACCAGGCATCCGGCACTTACACTGAGACCTTGGTGAGTTAGACTTCGAGCTTCCTGCGCCTCAGTTTCCTTAACTGGAAAATGGGTCGATGAGCATCCAGCTCCTAGGGCTATGCTGAAAGTTCAAGGCGACTGCACCAGGGAGAGGGTCGCACATCAAAGGGCTCAGACAGTGTGCTTTCCCTTCTCTTACTCCCTTTCCTTCCTCCTCTGAAGAGTTGTTTTTTTCCCCAGAACCACAGTGAAGTCCATGAAAGTGCTCATCGAGCCCACGTCTGAGGTGGGCTTCCCATCGAGGAATGCCAGGACCGGGCTGTTCACATTTTTGGTTCCAGCATCTTCCTCTCCCAGGAAGGGCATCCGACCAGGGGCTTGCAGAGACCTCCTTTTGCCTCAGTTTGCAAAGTCACCTGGCTGCACGTGCTTGCTTTTCCCTGGCTGCCCGGGTCTCTCTGAGAGCATGCAACTGGCTTTCCTTCCTGGGCGGGATTTAGCAACAGTAAAGTGGTCAGTTGCTGAGTGCTAGTGTTAGTCAAGACTAACTTGGTTTCCAGTGACAGGGATCCATCTTGAATGAGCCTAAGCAAAAATGGGATTCCTTGGAAGGTTCTTGGGTAGAGTCAAAGACCCAAAGGAAATGCTGCAGAATCCAGCCCCACGGAGGGAACAGGTGACCTCCAGCATCCCTGCTCAGTGGTCCGTGGCTGTAGGCAGCTCCCAGCTGACCCTGCGCACACCTTGCACCCATTCCGAGGACCGGGCCTTTCCCAGGTCTTTCAGATTAGAACCTGGCCCAACTCGGAGCAGGTACATACCCTTTGTACTCAAGACGGCGGCCCAGGATTTAAGGGACTCTGACGAACTTGTCTTGAGTCCCATGCTGATCTCTTGGTATTCTAAGGTGAGTGGAGCCCTCCCACCTCTCTGAGCCTATAGCTCAGGCTGATAGAATGTGGCCAAGGCAGGCCAGCCTGTTTGTCAGCCACCACAGCCCGGGAGGTGTGGCTTGGTGATGATGATCACGATGGGAATGATTGCAGCTTCTGCCCAAGTGGCTGCCCTGGGCGCTCCCCACGGCTATGTTAAGAGGACACCTGCCACCTCAGTGTGGTGGGAAAGACCACGAGCACTGGGTCAGGCCGCCCTGGCCTTGAATGCTACTATAGCACGGAGTTATAACTGCCACCTTCCGCTCTCCAGGCCTCTCTCCCTGTCTGTGAGGAGCCACGGAAACAACACATCTAGCCTAATGGTGTGCATTGGATGCATGGCCAGTGCTCGGTACCTAGTAGCTGCTCTCCCGTTCAGTCTGAGAATTCCCGAAAGTGAGTTCAAGTCCCAGGCACTAAACACAGTTCATTGTGCATGGAGAGGATACATGTGTGATTATGGGTGCAAAGAGGCCCGCCGCCCTGCTGAGCGAAGTGTGCCTATGTCCCTGGAGTAAGTGTGTTGCCTCTAGCACATCTCAAACTTCTCATCTGTGTTAACTTTTGAGGCTACGTCTTCAGAACTTTGGAGTTGTGAAAGTAAATCCTCAGAGGTGTTTTCTAACTCTGGGCTCCACTTCCAAACAGGTATAGAGGTATTTTCTGCAGAAGCCGTAGGATATGACCAAATCATTTGGGTGGCCATCGGAAGCCAAGATAATTGTTTAGGAAACTCAGCCATGATCAGATGGTCCATTTTTTATAACTTCCTAGTTTATGTAGTGCTTTGGAGGCTTTCCACCTCGGGAAATGTGACAGCTTTCACATTGGTGACTTATGACCAGGATTTTACACCAGCTTGACTTACTTTCAGCGTGTGTTCAGCTTAGAAATTCTGGCACTTTCTCTTTCTACTAAAGTAGTCTTTATCAGACGCATCTTCCTTTCTCTGCAAGACTTCACGTAGAGATGTGATAATCCCTTAGGGGGCCCAGGCAGTGGACACAATGGAATTTGTTTAACTACCTCACAGTTCCTTTCTTCATATGCAAACCTTGGAGCATGGAGAGAACTACTGGGCAGAGTACACAACCTGGGAGACCTCTTGGCAGGGAGAAGATGCGAGTCTTTAATGTAAGATAATGTAACTGACATTCTTTGCTGGGCTTTTGTTTTTAAAGGAGCATGGCAACCTGTGCATGGCCCGTCCTGCAAGATGACATTAGTCACTGCGATGCCTGAGGATCAAGTAAGTCTCTTTTCTGCCATTGAGTTGACTTTGGGGAGATGGCTTCATGCTTTGGAAAGGTGTAGGGAGGCCTGCCCTCTTTCTTTACGCCCAGGTGAGCTGTGATCCAGTGTGGAGAAGCACTGGCTGGTGAAGGGCTCCATTTCCCTCCTCGGGTCTCTGTCATTGCCCACACCAACCATGGTTGCGTTGTCCTCCATGCTGTCAGAGGAGGGAGGGAGGCGGGGCTTGAGACTAAGATGTGGCTGGGACCTAAGTCATTGGTCTTTGGGCAGGGGGACACTCTGCCCCCTTCTCCCCTTGTCAGAGCAGCAGCTCAGCTGTCCCGACTCCAGTCCCAGTTCAGGTGGCATTCCCGTCTCCCACTGGCGCAGATGTATGCCAAGGCAAGAATGTGGCTGGGCAGCTCCTGCAGGGAGTGACTGCACAGCACTCCACCATCTGTCCAAGATTTGAAAAGGTGATTGCAGCATCCTCCTCTGCTTGGCTTCCCTTCTTAGGAGAACAGACCTGTCCACCTCTTTCTGTAGATTTCAGCAAGTCCACGGAGGCAGGCTTGGGGGCCTGGGAAGCTTGCTATGGGCAGGAATCAAAGTGACAGATGGGCATAGTCGCCCCCAGGAAGTGCTGTGGGAGCCCCCACTGCTCTCCCCAGTTCCTCTCTGTTTTTCTGCTCTGTCTCCACACGCTGCCAGACCTTCCCAGAGGACAATCTGAACATGACCGTCCTGGTGGTCTTCAAGGCCCCCCTCCTCTTAGACCTCAGCCTCATTTTCTGCCTCTCTCCTTTGCCCTGGCTTCAGTCCCACAACTCCTGGAATAAACGTCCACATCTGGGACATGCCATTCCTTCTAGAAGCTTCCCTCCCTTCTCTAGGCAAGGTCGGCACCTCCTCTTCTATACTCCCAGAGTGCTTTGTTCAGGCTGCAGACGCATGGCTGGCTGAGTGAAGTTTGGCTCACTTGTTTGTCTCACTCCCTAGCTGTGGGAACCCTGAGAGCAACGACCCACCCCCCAACCTTCCTGTCCGAGCCAGGCAGCGCCATCCTGAGGTGCAGTACTGGGCACGTGGCAGGGTGTCAGCAGCTGTTCGTCAGCTCCAGGAGTTCAAACCCCAAGATTTCTTCAGGGCTTGTGGCTCGCGAAGCTCTACTGTAGTGTCTGATGGTGGGAACCCCCCTCCCTGGGAGGGGTGGCCCTATCAGCCTTGCTTATTTTCTAGACCTGGAGACGGAGGTCTGGGCCATCAGCTAACTTGCCCCCTGGCTGCAGCACACAAGAGCCAGGATGCATGTCTCCCACGGCCAGCCCAGTCTGGTTTCTGTCATATTGAATTGTATAATTAGAGAGAACCCAAGAGCTTATTCAGCACAAACCCCTCATTATCAGATAGGGACACTGAGGCCTGGCCTGAAGATGCTTTCTCAAGGTCACCTACCTCACTGGCAGCAAAATGGAGAACTGGAACGTGGGCCCTGGACTTCCAGTCTGGCATCTTTCCCCTCCTCCCCCTTCCTCCTCTACCTCCCTTCTTTATGGTGACAAGAGAACGTTTAGGGACTATCATTCTGCATTTGCAGGATGGTGAAGGATCCTAGAATGCCCTGAGTTAGATGGGACAGAGGGATGAATAGAACTGGCCCTGGCTCTAGGGGCTTCCTTGGAAGCATGAGACTGGGGCAGGTCCTGGTGGAGTGGAGGGAGGGGAGGGGATTGGAGAACATCATTGCCCAACCAAAGGCTGGAGCGGGGTGGGGGAGGAGCAGCAGGCAGTCAGGTCTGGGCAGCTAGAGGCTGGCCTGGGGGGCACCGAGGAGCTACGGGAGGTGAGATCCTGCCCAACAGGCCAGGGAGGGGTTGGCTGGGCCTGGGGAAAGCTACTGCAGGAGTTCCGATTCTTAGTGTCTGGGCAAAGAGGTCCAGTAAGTCCGTGTTCTGTGGCCTGAGAATCCTCCCTCTTCCCTGGAGAAATGGAATATAGGGCGTGTCCACAGAGAAGGGCCGGGCAACGGGCAGTGAGTTCCATCAGTGTCTGCAATGTATATGGGGAGGGATGTGTGTGCTGGCTCCTTCCTGTTGTGCTCAGATGAAGTTTTGTTTCTGATTGACCACACTTCCAGTTGGTCTTTCCCCCCCACTCGCTGGCACTGGGTTTGGGCTGTCCTGGGTCTTTCATTCACCCCGGCTCGATACAGGGCTGGGCTGGTCCTGGTTCCTCTGTTTATACTCTGCTCCTTCTTGCACCTTCTGGGGCATACTGACTGGGACACTGGGACTGAGCGTAGGCTCCATCTCTACTTGGCAGATGGAAACATAACCTTTGCGCAAATTACGGGGAACATGAGGTTTGCCAAGTAGGTACCTCAGGTTATTTTTCAAACATGGCCAGGCTATAAACTTCTCTAGGGCAGGAGGAGCGTGCAGCATTCTTATTATTGTCTACACCTCAGGTTTACATCGCACTTTCCCTTTTAAAGAGGTCATTTCATCTTCATAATAAGGCAGGCAGATTCATTCCCATTTTGCAGATGAGAAAGTTAACTTAAAATTCTACCCTGCCCAGGGTAGTGTAGCCACCTAAGGTCTGATCTGGGACACCACCCACGCCTCCTGTTGATAAATTCCATGATCTTTTGAAGGTACTAAGCTCCAGCCATATGTAAATCCTTGGAGGGCATAGGACTTCAGAGTAGCCCAGTAAATATTTGTTGAATGGATGGACTTTGGCTATTTTGGGGAGGTGGGTGGGAGGCACTCTGACCATAAATGGATCCTCTTGGAGCACTGCCCGCTGAAGTATTTGCATTTCTTGCCATGATAAGGAGCGGGTGAGTTCTCTTCTCACCCAGCCTCCCCTCCAGGAACTGGGTCATGTGCACTGAATAATTAATTCCTTGAATCTTTTACTCTGAGCTTCCTCCTCCCGATGTTGAGGTGATCTAACATTGGCCTCTGAAAGGTCCTTGGCAGGAGCAAATCCTATTGTTTGTTGATATAAACAGTCAGATGATCCATGTAATTGCTCGCAAGGACTATTCTTGGCCTAATCAGGTCAGACTTCCAGTGGGTTAATTCCATCTGCCACTTTTTCCCCTCCGACCTCCTTTAGACTAAGGAAGAGGGATCCTTGTGATTATCTTAGATATTCAGGTTTCTGTAGGACAGGAGGGCTCAGCTCTCCCTTCTCACTAAGCTCTAATCTCCTCAAGATTTTGTGGCAAGGGCTGGAGAAAGAACAATTAGACCATGTCAGCTTGGGAAGGGACGCATGTGGGGGGGAGGGTTAGGGAGGCAGTTATCAAAACATCTTCTGGGCCTGCTCTTCACCTAAGTGGCACTTGGGTCGTGTTTCTTAGAGTCTGTAGGAGATCCAGCTGGCCTCATTAGAGTAACCTAACTAGGTCTTGAGGTCAACAAAGTAGAGTGGAAAAAAGTGGGCTGAGGCCAAAGCCCCACGTTCTCGTATTGATTGCCCACAGCCTAGCTGCATGGCCTTGGGCCACTCACAGAACTTCATCCGCCCCCAGATTTCTTATTAAGGATACAGGGGAGGCCTCGAGGGTGGGGTAGCATCTTAAAGGAGCTTCCCCGAATTCTGTGATTTTTCAGTGTTGTCTGTCCTCGCGATGAGCTCTGTCGCCTTCTCTAGGTCACCTCTTCCTAATGTGGCTGGAGCTTGCTTTTGTAGACCCTCTCCTCCTGGCCTTTGTAGCCTCTCCCCTACTCCACCCTGGGGCATGCCAGAGTACAGATAAGAACTGCCTATTGCTGCCCTAGTCTCTTGCCAAACACCTTGGGGAAAGTCTAACGTTTTGATAGAAAGCTGGGAACCTAGGACGTGCAGGTGGTATTAGAAGGGAGTGAGGAAAACCTTTTGAGTGGAAAGAAGCCAGCCCAGATGACCAGGGTCGTTGGGGTAGCCCAGCTCTGAATGCCACAAGTTACCTGGGGTTGAGTTGTTTGACCAGAGAGAGTAGATAAGTCCTTAAGAATATGGCCTCAAGGGGCACCTGGGTGGCTCAGTCGGTTAAGCATCCCAACTTCAGCCCAGGTCATGGTCTCATGGTTCGTGAGTTCGAGCCCCACGTCAGGCTCTGTACTGACAGCTCAGAGCCTGGAGCCTGCTTTAGATTCTGTCTCCTTCTCTCTCTGCCCCTCCCCTGCTTGTACTTTCTCTCTTTCTCTCACTCAAAAATAAACATTAAAAAAAAAAAAGAAGAAGAATATGGTCTTAAGTCTCTTCTCCTCTTGGCCAGCCAGGCTCTGTGCTCAGCAGTGATGCAACACTCTGGAGCAATAGAAGTCTGAGTGTTGGTAGAAGCCTGCTCAGTGGGAGCTAAGAGAGGTCTCAGATGGATAACTAGCACAGGAAGGGGAAGGGCTGAGAAAGGTGGGGTTGCCTCTAAGATTTATGATCTTAGCGTGTTAAAGCTGGGAAGAACCTATAGGTGATGGAATCCCAATTCTTCTGTTTTATGGGTAAAGAAACTGAGGCCCAGAGACAGGACTTAACAAGACCCAGAAGCAAGCTCATGGTAGAACGGAGATGAAGGCCAGGTCTCCAGATTCCCCACTGTGGGAATCAAAAACCTCCTATAAGGGGCCCCTGGGTGGCTCAGTTGGCTAAGCGTCCGACTTCAGCTCAGGTTACAGTCTGGTGGTCAGACAGTCGGAGCCCCGCATTGGGTTCTGTGCTGACAGCTTAGAGCCTGGAGCCTGCTTCGGATTCTGTGTCTCCCTCTCTCTCTCTGTCCTTCCCCTGCTTGCTCTCTGTCTCTTTCTCTGTCTCCAAAATAAATAAACATCTTTAAAAAGCATCATATGAAGCGGCTATCCCCCCACCTCCCTGCCACCTCCTCACTCGGGTCCAGCTGCCGTACTCCCCACTCTCTTTGACCCTGAGCTTGATTGTCTAAGGTGTTAGCAAGGCTTCACTGCTGCCACCCGATTGTCTATTGGGGGCCTAATAAAACCTGGGTGCAACTGCACAGGGAGGCGG